GCTTCTTCCCCCTATCGATCAAGCCCGTGCTGCACGAACAGAAAGACCGACGCCCTGACGAACGCACGAACACAGAGAAAAGGGCGACCCAAAAGTCGAATCAAACTCGATCAAATCACCATGATTCGTTTCCAAAATTTGGCCCGATGAAATTCAACTTGCTACGAATCTATCCCTAAGAAATCATCGCCAAATCGTAGCCAAGAACTAAAATAGAGAAAAACGAAGAACTGAGGAACGAAAATCACACACAAAATTATGAATCCCAGGGGGCAACTGGAGGATCCGGGCCTCTGTTCCCAACTCAAAATCTTTGTTTACATAAATTTCGAATTTGTGGACCTCAAGATCAAACCCTAGGAGGAAGGGGAAACTTATAGAAGAAAAAATGAAAATGTTCTAGAGGTGAGGGAGATTGGGGCTCCCTTGTCCTTATTTATCATGGCTATTACACAATCACAAACGCGTCCCTAAATATTTTGAGTCGAACCACTTAACCCGAAGACGTTATGGTTCAACCCGAGATAGTCTTCATCCGACGCCACCGCGCGCCCTTCATGAGATAGTTTCATCTCGACGCGAACTCCTCGATGCCGCCACGCGTCGTCCGTTCCTCCTCGGAACCTCCGCCCGGGTTTCGAGGCCAATCCCATAAAACCGTCACCAGGTGGTTTTGAGGCTCAACCCACCAAACCGCCGCATGAGTAGCGTACTCCACACGCGTCCCCCGCCACTCGGACGCGTGTCACCTCCGTCCTCAACTGCCCAGGCGCTAAGTCTTCCAGAGCCTCGCTCGACTTGCACGTCAGCCATCTTGACTCGGTCAACATGGTCACTCCCATGTACACTTGCGCTTATCGATGTCCCAGTTGTTAGCCACCGCGGCTGGTCGCCCGGCCTCCCGGTCCCTCGGTTTAATCCTCACGTCCGTCCTTCACCGTTCCCTGTCCATCAACACGGCAGTCTCTACTTGACCTTCACCTCGCCGTCGACCACAACCTCCAAGCTCCATACCTGCGCACCACAAGCCAAGAGACATGTTACATAACTCAACTCATGCCATGGTTAGTTCACAAACTCAACCCAAGACGCGAACCACGTTGACAATTACTCGTCACAAATCCGAACCACGAGAGCATGTATGAACCCTGTGTTCGCACTGATCGATCTCGATCTGTAGGTGCCAACCGCGGGCCAATGCAAGCAGGTATGTACGTATATATATACTCTTTTTGACAGTGTCAAATTAAATAAAGCTACTTATTATAAGTACGTCGATCGTCGTCTTAGTCATAAGAAACAGTGGAATGAGAAAGCTGGTTTAGTCTCATCAGTAATGCATGATCGATGGTCGATGGTGTAGCTAGTGCGCGCGTAAAACGAATAGACGGGCGGCCGCTGCCGCGCGATCGAGACCACACATGGAAATGTAAATGGAAATGCATGGAAGAAGGAATGGAGTAGATAGTAGTCAATCATGCATGGCATGCTAGTCGTGAACTCGATCGATCATACGATACGCGCGCTTTTGCTTGCTTGCTTTTCCATGGAAGACAACCGCGACTTGCATGTTCCCCGAACGTGCGCCATTAGTTCTAGTTGGGCGTCCGGACGTCGCGAGCGATGACCGGCGGCCGGCCGGACAATGCGCACGCACGTTCGAGTTCGAGATCGAGGTCACTGGCTGGCTCTTTCGTTCGTGAACCTATATATCACACACACATCGTAATCGATCACCTCGTGAAAAGTTCAGTCTAAGTTTATTTGGGGGGCGAATGAGAATAATGGTATAGGGGGTATCTTCGACGACGACGACGACGACGACCATGCAGACTAGAGTTTTGAGGATGGAGTACTAGTTAGTTAGTATAGTTATAGACTTATATAGTCTGTCATGACATGTTATATATCTATACGTCAGGCAAAAAGAAAATGTACTAGCGCTAATAATATTAGAGAGCATCTCCAATGGTATTTAAAGAATTAAGCCTAAAAGCTTAGTATTGGAACCTTTCTAAAAAAAACTATTGGATATAGAAAAAATACAGTTCATCAACAATTCTCTTTTATTCGTTCCTATAAACATGCATGTACGTCGACGTCTCCCGTACGTACCGAGCTACTGACCGTGGACGAAATAACTCGCCGTCATGCCTGGCTATCCACGGCACTGTAACTCACACACAAAACTATTTTTGACTCTTAGTATTTATAGATCTGAAAATAGTGGCCGGAGATCCAATTCCGACGAGCTTTCTAGATGGTGACAATCAGACCATGGCCGGCCATCCCGATACCTTAACTCACACCCAGAAACTCAAAAATGAAATTTCCTCTATCTCTTAGTATTCTCAAAATCTAAAAATATTCACCGGAGATCTAATTCCGGTGAACCTCCGCAGAGGCGGCAGTCGCGGGCAATGGAGAGAGTCGAGGAAAAAACGGATAGGGAGTATCGGTCGTCCGCGTGGATGCCTCCATTTTTCCAAGCGAAGATAGATTTGGGAGTCAAATAAAGAACTAGAGTAAGTTTTTTTTTCAATCATACACTACTACAGTAAAATTTAATGGAGGCAGATGTTTTTGGTTTCTCGAGACGGACATTGCAACCGCCTCCATTTAAAGCTCATGGTTAATCTGGATCTACAGAGGTGGTTGCTTTGCCCGTCTCGGTTAACATATTAACGGAGGCGGACACCTTAAGGCCCCCGCTTGCGTTAATAAATCAAAATAACAAAAAATAGGGGGCCTGTCGATGAGCCCGCTAAGCCCATCCACATGGCCCGTCAAGCCCATCGACGTGCCCGCTCGCCGGATCTGTCCGTGCGTCGCCACGCCTTGCCAGATCTGTCCACGCCGCTCGCAGGACCGATCAGATCTAGGCCGCCGCCATTCGGGCCCATCGTGGGTACAACCACCGGATTTGATAGCCTACAAAAGAGAGGGTGAGAGAGGTACTGAGAGAAGAGAGAGAGGGTCAGACTGTTGCCGCCCCAAGACAGGCCGTCGCCGCCGCCGAGCGCGAGACCGTATTTGACCGCCACCGCGCGCGAGACCGGCCACTGCCACTGCGAGTGCCGCCTTGGAGGAGCCCCGCGTGGCCCCACGTGTGCACCGCTGCACAGGCGAGCTGAGCCCCGCGTGCCCCAATGAGAGAGGTACTGAGAGAAGAGAGAGAGAGGGTCTGACTGCCGTCGCCGCGCACGAGGCCATATCTGACCGCCACAGCGCACGAGACCAGCCACCGCCGCCACGAGTGCCGCCTCGTAGGAGCCCCGCGTGGCCCCACATGTGCACCGCTGCACAGGCGAGCTGAGCCCCGCGTGACCCAGCGCTGCCCTACGCGTGTGCCCCGCTGAGAGCTAGTGCACCGTACCACCACACACACACACACACACAGAGAGAGAGAGAGAGAGATGCGGGCGGCACGACCTCCGCTGCCGCCGCACGACGAGGTAGAGAGTGGAGGGAGGGAAGGGGATAGATGACGCGAGAGAGTGGAGGGAGGGAGGGAAGGAAGGAGATAGAGGAGGGAGGGAGAGAGTGGAGGGGGACGGCCGCTCGGTTGGGAAGAGAGAGTGAGAGACGAGAACCCTAAAGTGTAGCTTTTATATGTGACTACGGTAATGGACTGGCTGGGTTCGGCATTCATTTTTTAAGGCGGATCTTTTATAAGGCCCGCCTCCGTAAATAGGTCACTTTTTGGCCGTCTCCCGTTAATCGATTGACGGAGGTGGTTGCCTTAACGCGACCGCCTTCGTTAATCAAGCATTATTAACGGAGGCGGACGCCTAAAGCTGCCGGCCTCCGTCAATCCTTAACCATGGCGGTTGCTCGGCAAGCGGCCTGTCCACGGATTAACGGCGGCGGCCGCCCAGCCCGCCCACCTCCATTAAAAAAAGGGTAACGCCACACAAAATCAATCATGTAGCAGAGATATACCAAAGGAATTGAACAAGATTGGAGGTGTGTTTAACTGTTGGAGATGCTACCATACGCTCGCGCGGCTTTCCATGGAGGAAACTTGCTCCCCCGAACGTGCGCCATTACCGTGAGTTAGGCAGGTCCAGACGTCGCCACCGTAGCGATGACCGGACACAATTAGAGAGTTCGTCTCTCTCATTCGTGATTCGTGAACCATGCATGCACCCCACACGCACGCACATCGTACGACGTCCTCGCATCGTCCTTGAAAAGTTTAGTGCCGGCGAACGAGAACATGGTATATATGGTAGGTATCCGTCCTTCTTCAACAACGACGCCGACGACGAGCTCTCGATCCCCATCGACCATGGAGACTAGAAGTAATTCACGCATTGCTATACTGCGATCCTATTGGACAAGCTAGACAGATTTTCACAGGCGACGACGGTGTGCAGTGCGTGCAAAGACGGATCGATCGGCTTCTTCCTGGTTCCTGCAGGCTGCAGCTGCAGGTAAAATTTTCCACAAGCACACGCATGCATTCAGTCCATTCAATTCTGATGGAGGCCAGGTCAGTCCAGAAATATAGCTACTAGCACTGTACTACTGTTGTACGTTCTAGTACACTCGTCCTTGTCCTTGCCTGCATTTTCTTTATCCATGTATATGAATCTTCCTAGTTCGATCTGTTCGAGAGTGGAATAGAAATAAGTATTTTCTTCTCACAATAAATCAGTATAAACAGTAGCATAAGCTAAATTTCAGCGACACGAATAGGGCAATTACTAACGTCTGTGCGTGCACATCCTGCTCCCTCTTATACATGGCGCTCTATATCGGCCGGTCCGCCGGTGGACAGCGGTGGTAATACAAAGTTTAAACTTTGAAATGTGTGCACTTATAATTCAGAATGGACAATGGAGTGAGTAGCTAGTAAGATACTACTACTCTACATCTGCCAATGCAAGATCTCTACTGCTGCGTGCTTCCCCGACACCAAGCCGAGTCCAACGTCAACGCGATTACTAGTCCACTGATAAGATTCTTTTTATTTGTTTCTCCAATGGTATGCCACGATGGATGATCTTGTGAGCACATATTTACGTGTGTAGCACATGATGCTTACACCCAGCGACGAAGGCAACGGTGGGGCTGGGGGGGCTCCAGCCCCCCCTACCGATCCCAGACAAGTGGAGCCCCCTAAGTTTTTTTTAAAATTTTATGCATATATATAATAGGTAGGAGGGGCTAAGAGATTAAGAGAAGATAAAAAAGCCTCTATTCCTGGTTGGGCTGAAAGAGAAAATAGCTCAGTTGGTTAGAAGTTAGAAGCCCAACCGAATCGGCGACTCCCGAGACCTGGAGGCGGCGGCCTGCTTCTACGCGGCTCCTCGGCGGCTCCAGCACGCCGCACGCCCAGGCCCAGCAGCGAGCAGCGAGCAGCAGCACATCGTCTGGCGGCCGTCCGCATCCGCATCAGGCATCAGCGTCGGCTCCGGCGCCGGATCTCGAGCGGCACCTGGAGGAGCTTCGGGGCCGCGCCGCCCGCCTCCACGCCGGCAACCGCGACCTCGCCGCGCGGCTCCACGGCGTGCAGGCCCGCGCCGCGCTGGTCCGCCTCACCAACGCCCGCCTGCGCGCCGAAGCCGAGGCCAGCGCCCTCGCCCGCCGCCTCGCCGCCGCTAGCCGCGCCCTCGCGCTGCGCCAGATGTATGCCGCGTCCGTGTCTGCGTCTGGAGACTGGAGCTGCGGTGCCGGCGGCTTCTTCGAGCTGCAGGCGCTCGCCTCGCTGATCGCGTAGCCGGCCGGCCGGCCGGGCATCAAACGTCTGAGCAGAGCAACTGAGTAGGTCATCTACTACTACTACCTACTACTGTCAATCTTACAGTACTGACAGTCCTGAGTACTGACTAGTGACTACTGAGGACGATGTGATTGCAGACTTGCAGACTTTGCAGTGTTTTCTTTTTGACTCGGTAGGAGCAGCCGAGCAGCGTCGGAGCAGGCAGCCCAGGTGATTTTTTAATTATGAAATTAAGTCTGTGACTGTGATTGAAAAATGGTTTGATTCTTGATGGATTTTAATTTTTAAATTTTCAGTATGTCGTCGAAAAGAACTCTGCGCAATTACTTTTCAAGTTCTAGTGGTAGTGGTCCATCAACTAATGAGAGCACAACTCAACCAAAGAAACCTAGAGCTAGAAGAACTCCAGAATTTCTTGGATGCACTGAACTTGGAAAAGTTGCTGAAATTATGGTGAAGACTAAAATGCACGAATCTTATAAATTGGTTTATCGTCTCATTGAGCTAACCTTGATACTACCGGTGGCAACGACTTCAGTTGAAAGGATATTTTCAGCCATGTCTATTATAAAGACATATTTGCGTAGTAAAATGGGTGATGACTGGCTCAATGACTTGATGATATGCTATAATGAGAAGGAGAAATTTAGAAAGATTGATAATGAAAAGATCAAAAAGCGGTTTCAAGATATGAAAAAGCGTCGTATGTTATTGCCTAAAAAATTAGTGGTATACTCTATTCTCTTCTAAATTCATAATTTAGCGGTCCAAATATGTTTGACTAATCAATTATGTCTATTTGTGTAGATTGCTACTTCGGATGAATAATGTGTGTCAACGTCAAGCACTCAAGCGCCGTCTATTAGTTTCGTAATTTGGCCTTTCGGTATGAATGAACAGCTTCCTTTATTTTTCATGATGTATTTTATGAATTTCATCGTTAACCAATGTTTTTAAGTCGGTGTAGCACTTTTGTTCAGTCGGGTCTAAATTTTTTCCTAGCTTCGTCCCTGTTCAGCCCCTCCTAACATTTTTTCTGGCTTCGTCCCTGCTTACACCATGCTTAGTCAGCTAGCACGCGCGCGCTACAACCCTACCGTACCGTTATATAATAACCCAACCACCCCAATGCGACTTGTATCGCTTATGTTTTCATGGAGCTCTGCAACTTGTTACTCCCTTGTTTCCTCAAAAAAAAACTTGTTACTCCCTCTATCCCTTTTTAATTATTGTTTCTCGCTACCCGAAAAGTCAAACGTATATAACTTTAGCCAAATATATACATAAAATATTAATATCTACGGTACATAATTAGGTCATTAAATAGATTATTAAATCTATTTTTATAATAAATTTATTTAGAGATGTAAATATTGCTAATATTTTGTACAAACCTCATCAAACTCAAGAAAGTTTGACTCACAAGGCATATCGGCATTTAAAAGGGACAAAGGGAGTATGCTTTAATGCATGGCGTCAGACGACATCCATCCCAGATCGATATGTTGTAACGGTTTAACTGTTTTTTTGACTCTTGTTCAAGGCCAGACCAATGCAATAATAACTCTAACAATATTGTAGATGATAACCCTCCAGTACCCAACACCATCACAAAACAGAACACTAGTGATGGTCAATATTAGATGCATATTGGCCATGGGGAAAACAAGCGCGTCTAAATTTTTGTGTGTGATGTGGACAATATTAGTGATGTGTTATTCCCCGCCTCTAATATGTAGATATTAGAGACGGGGTATTTATAACAAATATCTGTGGTAGTATTTATAACAAATATCTGTGGTAATATGAGTCAGAGAGTTTTACTTTTACTACGTGCGTCTTATATGTAAACATTATAGAGCGCATTGAAGCAAATCGTCTCTAAAAACCGATATATGGAAATTATGGGCAAGTCCGGAAATTCCGGATCCTGCATGCAGACTGAGGAGGCGATTGCGATCTCACCCATGATCTAGGCCGCCACTCCGGCGTCCTTGCTTAGCAACGCCGGCGGTAAATCCGGTCCTGGTGCTCACGCCCTGCCCCGACTCCAAGTTGGCGGCGGCCACCCGCATATCGACGGTTAGCCGGTCCGGCGCCGTCCACCACAGATTTCCCGCTAGGGGTTGCGGCGTTGGTGAGCCCGAAGGGGAGGGCCGTAACCCCTGGAGTTTTTTGAGCGGCTTCCGATAGATCTGGATCGGAGGGTGGTCGGCGCTAAACCAGAGTGGTCAGAGCCGATTCTGTGATGGAAAGGCAATCGACGAGCTTCTGGCCGACCCGATCAATGGATGCGATCAGATCATCGTTGTTGATTTGCTTCCTCTGGTAGCGGGGAAGCGGGCGGCGAATTGTCGGCGAAGACGACCTCGGAGGTGGTTCCGAGATCGGATCTGCAGTCGCAGGTGTTGGGGTGATCGGCACAGCATTGATCTGCACCGGCTCGATGAGCTCTCCGACTCCGTCAGCGTTGATGATCCACGAGATCGATCCGACCGTGAAGATCTGGCCGGGTTGTGGGAGGGACGAAGAGCTTGCGGAACGTACCATCTTGTTCGACATGGAAACAGCACGCACACCCCTACCTGGCGCACCAACTGTCGACAGAATATCGTCGGCAGTCCTCCGAGGGGTATCCCACGAAGGTAGATTGATCGGCAGAGATGTATGTAATCGAGAACAAGAAGGCAACAGAGACACACGAGTTAGACAGGTTCAGGCCGTCAGTATGACGTAATACCCTACTCCTGTGGTCTGTTGGATTATATTGGCTGTCGTATGATATTGCGTGAGTTTGGAGGTGGTCCCTGCCCGCCTTATATAGTTCAGGGGCAGGGTTACAAGTCGGTTAGATCTAGGAGATAACCGAAATGTAATAACAGATTACAGGAATGATGGGATCATACGTATCCTAACAGATCTCGTAGTATCTTCAGGATATCTTTCCGGTGTCTTGCGGGAGACGCCGAGCAGCGTCTGTTGTGGGTATCCAGGGTCGTACCCCCCACAGCCCGCCAGATCGTCGAAGGTAGCAGCAGCACAAGCGCGGTGCTGTGGCGGCGGTGAAGGAGATGGAGCTTCTTGTCGCTTACAGCGCCCCTCTCGATCGGTCTAGGGTTAGAAACTTCGGTGGGGCGTTGGCGGCTACAGTGAACCTCATCTCTTGTGCCCTAGCCCTCACTATCCTTTTATGGCGCTGCGCGACGGGGGGCCATCAGCCAGTACAAAGGCTGAGCGCCCCCGATCAGGGCGCGGATCAAGGACTTAATTGGCCGTTGGACCAATTGGTGGAGATCAACCTAATAACATGGACCAGCAGGATCATGGCTAGGGTCTTCTCAAAAGATACAGATGTACTATATTGTGCCTCCTGAATAAATCAACTTTTAGAATTATCCTAAGTTAAATTTTCTTAAGTTTAACTAAATTTACACAAAATAGTAGATAACAAAAGAGTATAGTAACATGAAAAATATATTTCATGTTGTACTTGACTACACTAATAATTTTATGTCATAATAAATATTACTCTTTTTCTATAAAAAAAATCTATCAACTTAAAAACGATAACTTAGAACATACTCCCTCTGTTCACGATACATACATACACACACACACACACACACACACACACACATATATATATATATATATATATATATATATATATATATATATATATATATATATATATATATATCACACAGACACACACACGGCACTGCGTGCTGCTGCTGGATCGCCATCGGTCCGAGACTCTCTCTCCCTCCCTCAAGGATTCAATCCAATTCCCTCTGCAGATTGTGATCGATTGGTCATTGCATTGTGGTGTTAGGCCGCCATAGCTTTTTGGGTGTGTCGTCTTTAGAGCGAGTAGGACTCGCTGCAACTTGTGCACTCGCAAGGTAAGGTACGTACGTGCGTGTCGCTCTCCTCGGAAAAGCTAGCCAGTCTGGGCCACGACTAGCTTCTCACTGCCACGAGGGAGCTGGGACCTGGGAGCTAACAAAATGATGCTCCTATAACAGTGGTGCATAATTTATGAACTTCGGCATCATATCCTCAACCCAATCACAATTCACAAATCTGTCCTTCATTCGAAAGTGACGTTTTAGATACCACATGGCCTTCAAACTAATAACCGCTGGCTAACGGCCTATTTGACACGGCTCCAGTAGCAGAAGTGGCGAGAAGACGTAGCAAACACCACAAAAAATAAAACTATTTTTCGGTGTAACGAAGCGAGTGATGAATACCTGAGTAAAGATACGTACCTCAACCAAAGGTATAACGACACATATATCAAACCTTTGAAAGGTCACAAGAAACAAGGCCCGCTAAATGGGCGGACACTGATCCCTAGGGCGAGGACCCCATGCGCCACCGAGTCGCGGGGCACAGCTCGGAAGTAAAGGGCTTGGCCCGTCGAGTCCTGCCATGTGGCTCGAAGAAAAATATCTGCTCGAAAGGGCCCACGGTGCAGGACGTGATAGGCCCTCTATGGGGGCTCGAGTCCCCCTCATGGGACCCAGTCTCGGGTTCGCCTTCTCCCCGAAGAGTCAAAGGTGGATAAACTAATAAACTGTCATGTCACCTGTGCTAAGCATGTTGTCCACGCTTGCACAAAGACAATCACACCTCGTGTAGTAAATATCAGTACTTTACAGTAAAACCTCGTACGTAATAGTGAACTAGGACAGACCATTATTCCTGCCCTTGTGCGCCGCTGGGTCTTTGGCGATGGTACCAACCGGGCCGCGATGACATGAGACCACTCCATCCTAGGAAGGACGAAGAGGAAGGATGACACCTGACGGACTCAAGACTTTACTATCCCTCGTTTCGTCTTCTTCCTTAGTGGCCCTGTTCGGCTTATCTTAAAAGCTAGTTTGTTTGGTTTTTTTTTCAACCAGAATAGTGTTTTTTCTCACAAAAATTCAGCTTTAACTTATTTTTTCAGCCAATTTTAGCTAAACGAACGGGACCTATATGACCAG